AATGTCCAGCCACCGTGTTCACATGACTACAGTAGCTTCTTTGGAGACAGTGGCAGTTGTTTTTTTTTTTTTCTTTTTTTTAAAAGATTTATTTATTTATTTGAAAGTCAGGGTTACACAGAGAGAGGAAAAGCAACGGCTAGAGCTGCACCGATCCGAAGCCTAGAGCCAGGAGCTTCCTCTGGGTCTCCCATGCAAGTGCAGGGGCCCAAAGACTTGGGCCATCTTCTGCTGCTTTACCAGGCCATAGCAGAGAGCTGGATCAGAAGCAGCCAGGACACGAACCAGCGCCCATATGGGATGCTGGCACTGCAGGTGGCAGCTTTACCCGCTACACCAGTGCTGGGTCTGGCAGTGGGTGTTGAGTCCTGCTGTAAATTAGCAGAATGTGCGACACAGGTCAAAGAGCCATCCTGGCTCCCCTGGGAAACTCCCTGCCAAGCAGAAGGGGAGGGATTCTGGCAGGATTCTCACAGCCCAATTTGTCCCTCTCTTTCTATAATATAAAGCTTTCAGATCAGTACCTGCTGATATCAAAAGCCGAAAGCTTCTCTCCTGCCCGCAAAGCAAGAAGGATAAGGAAGTAACACATTAGGAGAGGACCTTCATGCCTGAGCCTTTGCAAGTAAACAGTAGTTCTTTTTCGTGATTTCACTGTTTGTGGTTAGTTACCTGCAGTCAACTGCAATGCAAAAGCATGAAATGGAAAATTCTAGAAATGAAATTCATAGCTCTTTAAAAACTTCCATTAAAGAATATCTTGATAGTTGATCTCTTACTGCTGTTAATCTCTTCCTGGGCCTAATTTATAAATTAAGCCTGTCACAGATATATATGAGGGTACTTTAAAAAGGTCATGAGAAATAGAATTTAAAAATTGCAGGGGCCAGTGCTATGGCATAATGGGTAAAGCACTGCCTGTAGCACTGGCATCCCATATGGGTACCAGTTCAAGTCCCAGCTGCTCCACTTCCAATCCTACCCTCTGCTATGGCCTGGGAAAGCAGTGGAAGGTGGCCCAAGTCCTTGGGCCCCTGCACCCCCGTAGGAAATAAAGAAGCTCCTGGCTCTTAGCTTCAGATCAGCCCAGCTCCAGCCATTGTGGCCATTTGAGGAGTGAACTAAAGGACGGAAGACTTCTCTCTACTTCTGCCTCTCTGTAACTCTGCCTTTCAAATCAATAAATAAATCTTTTTGAAAAATGGTTTATTTTGATGCAAAAGAGTTTCAAAATCCATGCCATATGAAGTGTCTTCCCAAAATTCAATTAAAAACTCTGCATAGATTTCAAAAATTGTACCAAAATAAGTTTGCCTTTTAATTCCATTTTCATGAACTTTTTGAAGTACTCTTGTATGTACTGGCAAAAAAAGAAATTTAAAAATTGTAGCTGTAAGATTCAGTACTATCTGTGATTTCAAGCATCCATTGAGGACCTTGGAACATATCTCCTGAAGCAAAGGGGGAGTTATTGTATTATTATTTCTATGCCATTGTTCTCATAACTGTCTTGAGATGATAGAAGCATTATTTGTCTCGTGTGTATATTGGTTAAAGTATTTGTTCAAGATCACATGGCAATCCAAGATTAGAACCCAGAACCTTTGACGGTCAAGCCCGAGCTCCTATGAGCATACCACGAGGTCACATGAAGCCCAGGAGGCGCCCAGAGAGGCTGGAGGGGGCCTGGGACAGCCACTCTCCTCCAGGCCCCAGGTGACATTGGGGCAACTTGAAGTTTTCTGGATCTCTTTGCTATTTCCTTCTCTTCCTGTTTCTTCTGGATGGCTTGTCCCCTTCTCTGCTCCCTGCTTATGATACTTATTTTTCCATCCACAGCAAAACAATTCACATCCAGGTAATTGATGATGAGGCGTATGAGAAAAACAAGAATTACTTCATTGAGATACTGGGCCCCCGCATGGTGGATATGAGTTTTCAGAAAGGTGTAGTACCCTGTCCTCCGCACTAACACTGACATTCTTCTCTCCTCTTCTCTTTCTTCCTTTCTCCAATCCACGTGTCTCCTACCTCTCCGGTTCACTGTCCCTGCTTTCTCTCTTGCTGTCTTTTCACTTCTTCCTCTCCTCCATGTTCCCAGCTCAATCCTAACACCTACCAGCCTGTCACATGGTATGCACAAGAGGGAGGCTCAAAATAAATGGTAATTATTTTTCTGGGATGCAAAAATGAGTATCGAGAGAGAGGGAGAAGGAGAGAGAGAGAGAGAGAGAGAGAGAAAGTAGAAATAGGAATAGATCCAAAGTCCTAAGAGTATTGTATATGAGGCTATCACTTCTCCTGAATGGCTGAGAGTACAGGAAAGAAAATGACCAGATAGCACAGTACCAGGCAGGAGGGCAGCAGTAAGAGACACACTCTAGACACCAACTCCCATAGATGTCCCTGTGTCCAGCTTACCGTCCAGGAAGTTGAGAATCAGTGTAATTGCATAATGGCTCATGTCACAACCCCAGAGCAAGCCTGACCAGGAGCCTTCTTATCTGCCACACCACTACCATGGGGACTTGTTTCTCGCCCTGACCTTGACAAAACTCAAAGCACAGGTTTGAGTTCCAGGTCTTCATCAAAGACCTGTCTGCCTTACTCTGCCATCTTTATTAAGAATATCTACGTGTGGAGGCAGAGAGAAGAGTGAGACAGGGGATTCTGATCTGAGTGGGAGCGGTCTCCAAAGTCCATGCAGCTTCTCAGAATGGAAGGGATCAAGTTTTCGCCTTCCTCTTACATAACCCCACACATCACACAGCCTCTGGTTGGCAAGTCAGGAAATCCTCTGGGATAGCATCCCTTCCCTGGCTGACCCCTCAGTCATGGCCCTGCAGGCCAGGCCCCTAGGTGCCCAGCCAATCCCACAGCAGAGTCCATGTGGCGTGCGAACTACTCAAAAACAAACAACAGGCTTTGGGACGGGGTCCCATATATAGAGAGCCAAGAGATAAATGCTCCAAAATTGCCACCAATCAATGAGATTTGTCTGTTGTCCATTGAGAAAGGTGTGAAAGGTGTCAAGTAGCCAAAAAGTAACCAAAAATGGACTTGTAAAATACACACACACACACACACACAGAGCTCATACACACACACACACATACACAGCAAGTCCTTGGCCCAGCAAACTACCTTGGATCAACCTGCTCTTCTGTGATAGCAGATCAGGTGCATCTTCAAAACATTATAGGAACAGAGAGGGCCTGAGGGGACATTCGGGCTGTTGATCCTCAGCACCTCCTTATTCTTTTGAAACCATTCAGATTCCAGGCCAAAAATGAAAATGGAAAACGGAAAATAATTCCAGCCCACTGTTGGGACCACTCACCACCACTGTGGTTCCAGAAAGGACCAGAGAAGCCAGGCCCACACAGCAGTCTCTCCACATATGATGGTGGGCCTGGGCCAGCCTTGAGTCAATCTTTGAAGTCATTTTTCTCCAAGTAGACTTTTGATTGTCATGGTGGTTTACTTTAAAAGACCCTATGCTTTGCTGAGATACCCAGAGCTGAATAGAAACCTTCATCACCTTGTGCCCTGGCCCCATGGTACTCAACATGTAGGAAGCCAGCCTAGGACATGTACCCCCATTTGATAGAAATCCAAAGATGATGTGGAATTTGATGATTTGCCTCATCTTCTCTGCATTTGCTTAGGAGCACCTCCGCTGTAAATGATCCCTATCGTGCATCATAGTGTGGTTAATACAAAGTGCCTCAAAAAGCTGGTGGAAAATGGAATTAAATATTATTTCATTTTGGTGCACAAAATTTTGAAATCCATTCATACAAGGATCTCTCAAAAGTTCATTGAAAATGCATATTGTTGAAAAAACTATGCATGGATTTTAAAAATAACTGTAAGGCTAAAATAAACATATCGGTAAACTCCACTTTCCACAAACTATATCAAGCACACTCACACATGCCTGAATTTTAGGTTAGCTCCCACCACTGACACTGCCTTTGAAATAAACAAGAGAGTAGAGTGCTGCCTCCTCTTCCTTTTCCCCTCCCTCTCTCTCTGCTTCCCTTCCTCATAAACACTTTACTTTGAAAGTTTTATTTATGATGCTCTCTTAAGAAGTGGTTGTAGTCACAAAGAGGGGATGCAAGCTGTGGCACAGTGGGTTAAGCTACCGTCTGTAGTGCCGGCATCCCATATGGGCACTGGTTTGAGTCCCAGCTGCTCCACTTCTGATCCAGCTTCCTGCTGGTGGTCTGGGAGAAGCAGTGAAAGATGGGCCAAGTGTTTGGGCCCCTGCCACCCATGTAGGGGACCCAGATGGAGCTGCTGGGTTCTGGTTTCATCCTAACTCAATCTGGGCTGTTGTGGCCATTTGGGAAGTGAACCAGTGGATGAAAGAACTTTCTCTCTCTCTCTCTCAAATTCCACCTTTCAAAAAATAAATAAAATATTAACAAAAAGAGGGGATGCAAGCTCTGGATTCTGTTGCTGCTTCCTACTGTGGAAGGGCCCTGGGTCATTCCAGTGGACAGGTAGCCTACCTATTGCCCGAAGAAATGTAACTGTTACCATGTGACACCTGATGGAATGTGCTGCCCAACTCACTTCCTCCTAACCTTTGGCAGGATCTAAATCAACTCCCCTCCCCACCATCACCTTCCCACTGTTCTCCTTCCCTTCCTATCTGCCCCTTCCTGTCTGCTCCTCCCCTTCCTATCTACCCCCTCCCCCCTCCCCTTCCTGGCTGCCCCTCCCCTTCCTGTCTGCCCCAGCCCCCTTCCATTGCCCACCTTGCCTTGCCTCCTGGCTCCCTGTCCCTCTCACCATACGAACAACTACGACCAAGGAGACAAGAAAAGCTAAGGCCAATTTTTTACACCAGAACAGCCTAGGCCACCCTTACCCCGTCAGCAGCCTCCATGCGCCAAGAGCGACAGGGAACCATTTGAAAGGCTGTGCTCCCGGTGACCGCCCAGTTGGCAGACCCCATCGACACACTCTCTCTCTTGTTGTCCCTACAGGAAAACCATAAGGGTTAAAATAGTAGATGAGGAGGAATACGAAAGGCAAGAGAATTTCTTCATTGCCCTTGGTGAACCGAAATGGATGGAACGTGGAATATCAGGTGTGAGACTCTTTAAAAACAAAACAACAGAAAGAAAAGAACACAATGGAAACAAACCGGGGGGAAACAGCAGCTGCCTATTTCTCCACCCTTTTCTTCCCTTCTCCTTCCTCCTCTGGCCAGCGGGCATTTTGATCTTTTCCCGCCTGCGTTCTCGCTCTCACCCTGTTTCGGTATCATCTCTGCCTTTTAGCTTTAGTTCACTTCCTCCTCTCCCGCCTCCGGGCAGCACTGTAGCCTCAACTCCTCCTTCCCCTAACGACTTTCGTTCCTGTTACTCTGCGGTTATCCCATGACCTCCTTGCCACTGTCCCCTGCACTCCCTCCAGCCCCCCACCCCTACACGGTCCCCTGTAGATGTGAACACTCCTTGCTGGGTGGGGAGGAGGAGAAAAGGAAAGGAATGTGATGTGAAGCATGCCTGTGCCCCTGCTCTGCCTCCCTGCCCTGCCACCCTGCACACTCTGGCCTGAACTGAAGGTGGGGGAGTTGGGGCTGGGGGCCGGGCCTGTGTTGTAGGGGTGCTTGACAGCCATCCGCTGCATTCCCCAACCTCCACTGAGTGCTTAGCAGGTTATTCTCGCAGAGTGGCCTGTAAGCCCCTCTGCCCTTCGTGGAGGTAAGTGTATCATGTGGCTATTTCACATTTGGGTAGATCGGCATGGGAAAGTCTAGCAGTTACCGGAGGCCACAGGACAGCTGTATTCCAGGGTAGTCATGCAATCTGGAATCCTGAGTTATCCTCCCCTTACATCTCCCCCATCCCCACAATCCCATTTACTCCGTCCCTATCCCTGGGTAGGGTACCTTATTCAGGCCACTTTGGGGTAATGCAATCTCTAATGCAGAACACTGAGAGTCTACAAATGGAAGGAAGTAACCCTGGGTTGGGTAATGGCCCTAGTCAGTGGGCCCTGGAAAAGGACAAACACTGGGCACAGCTGGGGCATTGACTTGTGGGTTTTCCAACAGGAGAAAGGACTTTAAATGGTGTAGTTGGTGCTGACACCCGAGAGACAGGTGCTGGACGGTTCATGGACTCCTGCCTTTGCGTGACGTCTACAAGTGAGCATATCACCCTGACCCCACAGTCTCCCTTGCCCCACCCTACAGCACAGGCCTCCTCTTCTCCCTTCCTAGGATGCACACCTCAGATTAGCTGCCAGTGGCTTCCCTGAGAGGGTGATGTGCTACAGCCACAGCACACGTAAGGAAGGATTTTTTCCCTGAAGAAAGTGATTGGAAGCCCTACATGGGAAGTGATGGGGGATAGAGGCAGGAAGCAGGAAGAGGGCTCTTGGGAAATACCAAGAGGAGGACATGCACACCCCCTTCAGGAGGGTGTGCCGCCAGAAGTCTCATGGAGACCAAAGCAGTGAAATCCACCTGTTTGTCCCAAAGGAGTGGCATAGGAGCAGCAGAAAGTCTGTCTGTCACTCAAAGCCAGATGTAAGAGACTCAGCAGTGACGCTCCAAAGGGCTCATCTACCAGGCCCCTGGCCAGACCCATCCGATCAGTCGGTTCTCAGTGTCTGCCGGGGACTCTGCAGAGCGGACCAGTTCTGTGCCCACAGTGGCTTGGACACACCTGGGAGCAGAAGTCCTCTCCTTCCTCCAGGGCCTGCTCTCCTGTTAGCCACATAATAGGGTACTGCCGTCAGCCTGGCTGCCAGGAGAGCGAAAGTCTCCATTGTCACTGCTTCCTGCTTTGTTTTCCTGCCAATCTTCCAGTTCCTGCTGCCAAGAGTGCTCTCAGAAGGTGTGTCAGCACCTGTCCTACTTCATTTCCACCTGCTTTGTGCATTAGCTCCATATCTTCATGACTGGTAAGAAGCAGAGGACAACCAAGGCCATTGTGGAGCAGCTTCATCAGTTTCCACAGCTCCAGCTGCTTAGGTACTAATGAAAGTAGCTCAGTGAGTCATAGAGAGCAGCTGGAAGAAGGCAGTGGCTCCAGGCAAGAAAACAGGATTGAAAGTCCATCCATGTCTTTATTTCAAAAAATGTATCATATTTATTTGAAAGAGGGAAACAGAGAGACAGAGATCTCCCATCCGCTGGTTCATTTCCCAGATACCTGCACTGGACCAAGAACTCAACTCAGGTCTCCCATGTGGATGGCAGGGATCCAAGTACTTGAGCCATCACCTGCTGCCTCCAAACAAACACATTAGCAGGAAGTTGCAATTGGAAGTAAAGACTGAACTTCAAGCAAGGCACTCTGATACAGGATGTGAGCATACCAGGTGTCACCCAACAGCTGTGCCCAAGAGCCATCCTCACCCATGCCTTTATTCCACCAGTAAAGAGGATCTTTTCCACCTCCCATAAAGCCCTCTAGCAGCAGCAGAGTGATGGAGAGTGACCTGAGATAAGACTTGTGCTTTTAAAGAGACTTCTCAGATGCAGTGTCTATGGCCACTCCCCATTTGTGGACACCTTGTTTTATTTCCCTGGATTCTTGGTCCAAGGAGATGAGATGTCAACAGAGCCCTCGTGAAGCCTTGCCTTGGCAGGGCAAGGTAAGTAGGTGAGACAAGGATTTCATAAGCTCTCGGAGGGGTATGCCTCCAGACCTTCCCAGTGACCAAGACGCTAAGATGGAAAGTGCTAATAAGAAATCCCTTGGCTTCACAGCCTCCTGTCCTGTTGTCTAGGAGGTTGATTTTCAGTTTCTTCAGTTCTTCCCAGATTCTGGGATCAGACCAGGTTGTCTAGACTCAGAATCAAAGGAGTACCTTTCCGGATTTCCAGAACTGCCTGCTGCTCTCTGAGTGAGGGCTGGTACCGCAGAAATTGCCTTTCATTATCACTGCTGCCTGGGAGAGTCTTGGGCACTCAGAGTGACATGGACTCCGCATAGTCAAATGACAATTGCATTCAAAAAAAAGGGGGACTGGATTTTAAACAGAGATTCTATCCTTGGCAAACAGCGTGGACTTCAGAGGTGAGAGTGAAAACTGAGCAAACTGGGGAAGGGAAAAAAGGAGGGATGAAGGGGAAACATGGTTGGCCGGAAGTAGAGAAGCCCTGGAGTTGAGAAGCAAACTTCTGAGAGCAACACAGAGCAGCTTAGTCAGGGCTTGCTGGGCCTGGGCCTGGGCCTGGATGCTGAAGTCTCTCAGGTGGGACGGGAAAACCTCTCCCTGAGAAGGGACCTGTTTGTTCCTCCTCTTTATACACCCATGGCCTTTCCTGGACAAGTGCCCAGGTGCTTCCTCTTTACTCAGAGCTACATTCATTCCTGCTCATCTCTGGAGTGTCTGAGAAAGGATGAAGGATTCTCCTCTGGCCCTGGAGATCAATACAGCTGGAAGTTTGCTGCAGCTTCTCACAGCAGCGACAGAAGCAGCAGGAGAAACACCCTGAAGCTGCCACGTCACTCAGAGTTGGTCCTCCTGGATCTCACTGGTCCCTCTATGACTGCTGAGGGATGTCTTGGATTTGTGGGCACAATGACCAGACAGTGACACAATTCCAGTTGATTGCAGGCCTTCTCGCTGCTTCAGGCAGGCATGGGGAGGGACCTCTGAGTGACAACCAGAACATCAGGGAGCTTTTTGGAAAAACCATCCACGACTGGTCTACTAAAACTTGAGGGCCAAAATTCTGGGCTATTCCATGCAGACCCATGGAAGGAGCAAAATGAACAGGATGTCTCTGTCTATCTATCCATCTATCTGTCTGTCTATCTATGTATAGCGAGGAAGTACATTGATCCATTACCGCCCTTGGAATTTTAGATGAGAGACGTCAGAAAAAGTCAACTGTTATTGACTCTTCTTAATATTCCACAGAGATTCCAGGTCTACATGTGAATTCAGTGGCTGTGGATATGGATGATGGATCATAGGCCCGCATTGCATTCCTAAAGACTCTTAGAAGAAACCATTCAGACATGCTACACACATGCACACACTCCTTCCTCATCAATCGCCATCAGTTACCAGCTGCACTGAGATTGCATAGAAGGGTATTTATGGATCTTTATCTGACAAGAGCCAAGAAATGAGGGGCTGTACCAGGACACACTTGAGATGAAAATGTGGTGTGTCAATACTTTTGTTTGTTTTTAGACCTTGAAGTCTAAGAGCTAAGCAGAAGCACACATTCAGGCACAAGGGACAACCTGTGTTGAGTGGGTCTTTGACTCAGTTTCCAAGTCCACATAGGGGTCTTGTATTTGTCATCTCCTGTCTATGTACAGCTGTTAGTATAACAGTTTTCTGTCTTCTGGAATATCTGATTTAGCTTACCTTTTATGGAACGAAAGACCACCATTCAGAGATGCAGCACCATAGGATCTATGGATAAAGCAGTTTCCAAAATAGCAAAAACAAACATTTATTGAGCACTAGTAAGTGCAGAGACTGTGCTAGACACAGGTGATGGAAAATGGTAAAAGCTCATGGCTCCAACCTCCAAGATATACAAAAATTCAGGGAAGTCATTCTGCAGGAATTACATGTCCCTAAGCCACTCTTTAGAGGAAATCGAAGTTCTAGCCAGTATGGTAACCAGGAAGCCATTTGTGGCCATGAAAACCTTGTGGGCACTGGGAAGCAGAGCATGACTTGACTATGAGGTCAGAGATAGAAAGCACAGAACTGAACACTTTGCCACTCTTGGACGCTGCAACCCATGCCCTAAGTCCCCATGCAAACCCCGTGGTGATATTTGCTGTGATAAGCCAGCTGTTCCAGCAGGGGCACAAGCTACAGTTAGGATAACCAGATTGTCACAACATCTTTACAGAGTGGATGTGATAACCTGCGATCCCAAAAGATCCTGAGTGACCAACCTGGTCTCTGCCTCGCCCGCTTGGTTCCCCGCACCCTCATTCCTCCATCCCTGGCCCTCAAGCTTACAGGGAAGACAAGGGGGAAACTTCTGACTGCAGGCCCTGGTGTTTGTCAGCCTCTCCAGCTGCTCGCGCCTCTTGCTGCTGCTGCTGCGCATGCTGCAAACGCCGCTCTTTCGCACGTGGCTGCTGAGCTTCACCTCCTAAGCTCACTGCTTTTCTTTTGCTGCCAGCAGCCACAGAGCCTGGGGATATGTTCAAGATGGGACCGTAATGCTCTCTCCTTTTCTCTCTTCCCTCTGTCTGGTATCACTCGCAAACAGCGCTCCTGTTATCTCCAGGTAAGAGGTGCTTTCCTCCTCTTCCAGTTCTTGCCAGTGCCATTGATTGGCTTAACACCAATGTCCTTTGATTTATTTGTTAGTAACTACAGGCTCAAGTCAACCTGACAAGTTCGTCCAACAACTGGGTGATTTATTTCCCCACATAAAGTAATGATGAGGAAGTAGACAATTCCTTGAACATCATTTCTGTCAGTGGATGTGGGTATGACATAGCTGATCCTCTCTGGGATCAAGAAGAGAATTGAAACTTTCCAAGGAGATACTGGGCTGTAGATTTCTCCTGCATCTTAATTCACCTGCCCTCTCATGTTGTGGGTGCCAAGAGGGTGAGAGTCAGAACTGGAATTTCCTAATAAGACTGTGATAGCATTTGTAAGAAAATATTTTAACCCCAAGAGATTCAGGGGAAAATGATCAAGAACTACTGTGAAAACACAAAAGGCAATTTTTAAAGAATCTGGAATTTTACCAGTCCTGGAGATCTGTGCCATCTCACAGCTGAGATCAAAATTGCTGTAATTTTGGATCATTTGTCATTGACCCTTAAAGTTATATGTTCCACAGCCGACAAGAAGAATTAGGTTGTTATGGGAGCTGGATGCAGTGTTCTGGCTGGAAGTAAAAAATTTAGAGAATTCATTCTGGAGACTGCTTCATGCCAAGTCCAGGCCCTGTGTAGGTTATACACCTACTTTAAGAGCATACATGCATGAGTGGAAACCAGTTGTGCACAACACAACCAGCTGTGTGAGCAGAGAGTTAGTTAAGCATGTCTGGCATATGTGGCAATACTATAACTCTTGGTGCAGGTGGAGTGGGCTATACAAGACAGTTTCAATATACTTTAAAAGAATATCTTACATGTCACCAGCTCTTGGGACACAGGAAAAAATTGAAGGTCACTTATGAGGCAAAACATCTTACAGAGTTCATTGATATTCAGACTCTTCTACAGTCCCTACCGTGAGCTTCAGAAGGGTGGTGAACATGGTGAGGACATTGCCCTCCGTGGAGCCTTAAACAGAAACGGAGGCAACTTTCACTTCCCATTTACTTCAGCTTCTTTTTCAGCTACCTCCAACCCTGTATGCTCCGTTCTTTTCCAGGGTCTTGATTTCATTGCATGGGTGTTTCCTCTTCACTTCTCTCATCCACTTGCCTGAGCTTTGACTTCTTTGTTACAACTCTTGCCTCCATCCCACACCCATATCTACATACAACAAAGATTGTGGTTTAATGTTATACTTTTAACATATTTGCACATTCCTACAGAAGCTAAAATGTGTGTAGGAGAACAGTACTTGGGCCTGGATCTTCCAATCTGCAAACCTTTCATTTAAGAGCCTTTGATTAGGCTTTAAATCCACTGGAAATCTCAAATCCTCCTTCTAATTTTCCTGGGTTGGAAGGCAAACATAATTAACAATGCTTGCTGGTTACAGGAGAAGAGTAAATATGTTCATTCTGAGCTACCCACCATGTGCAGGGCCCTGGGAGTGAGAGCATTGGCTGCATCATCCCACTTCTTTCTGATGGCATCTGCAAAATATTCACAGAAACTGATTCTTGTCTGACCTAGCACACTCTTTGTTCCTCCACTATTTATTCGATCTTCAATCCCATTCTTATTCTGTCTCTCCTCTCCCCCACTTAACTATTCCTAAAACTGAGAGTTTGTTTAGTCATTCTGAATATTAAGATTACCTGTTATTTACTCTCTTAACTTGAAATTCTGAGGCGTCACATAAACAAGTGTCTAGAATCACCATGGTCTTTTGAGTTCAAGACTTAATATTCTCTCCAGAAATTAGCATCATCTGAATTTAAAGCCATGATCAGGACAAAAGTAGAAAAAGACAGGAATGGCTTCCAAACCAAAACAATTAATCAGAGTTGATTTAAAGACATAGGAATCAATCAATTAACAGATAAACACAGAGTACCTCTGTGAGGTTGTGGGAGACCCAGAGATAAGAGGATTGGTTATTTGTCAAGGAGACTTTTGCAGAAAGCTAGCTTGAAAAACTGTCACCACAGGGGTGGACAGGTCAGCAGGTAGATCAATATCCTGCCAGATGGATATAGTGCTAGATTGATAGCTGGACAACGGGTTAGACAGGTACATTTATATGTCACTGGAGAGCTCATTATTTTGGTAGAAAGTTCTTATGGCACATGTAAAGTGTGACATGGGGGAACTGAGGAATAACACTGACACTGCTGCGATACGATTGTGATAGGGTGCCAAAACCTGGAAGCAGAGGAAAAGGGCAGCGGTTCTTTTAAGAGATCTATGTGTCTTTTTCTGAGGGTATTTTCCCAGAGTGGCTTGCAGTCCGGTTTCTAGGATAGTTGGACACAGAACCCTGGATGAATCCAGATGTGCGGGCAGAATTAGTTCATCATGAATACAGGCTAATAGAGGCTATCTACTGACTTGGAAATACAGACGTGCAAAAATCCTTGAGAAATAGTTTCCAAAAGTGGCCCCCCACACTGGGAAGAGGACAGCACCACGGACAGCTCCCAAACATTTGAGGATTGCCTTCTGTGTTTGCTCCAGAAATACTGAGAAAAATCACCAGCTCAGGAATACTCCATACATTCGCATAGCATCTGCATCGAGGTCGACTAGGCGATCCTTCTGTAGAATATAAGGCTCTCTGCTTGGTAACATACACCATCAGCTTCTAGCCTTACATTGCGGTGTCAAAATCTTGAGTCTCACCCCTTGCCTCGCTTCACCAATTCCCCAACCAGAGAGAAAAGAAGATCATCTTGGCCTCTGACCCATTTTGTCCTTGAGATTATCCAAGGAATAGAGGATTCCCCTGGGAAGTTTACTGTGTGGAATGAAAGCAATTAAGGAGCCGAATAAAAGAATTAATTGCATGTGAGGATGTGGACTTGGATGGGAAGATGTTTAAATGAGCTCTGAAAGAAACAGGCTGCCAAGAGCAATTTTCTAATCAAAGGGGAATAAAAAGATTCAATCTCTATTTCACTCTAATCCAGAAAACATGTCTTCATGGCGAAGTGATCTTAAAATGGACTCACCAGCTGAAGTGGAAAAAATGTCTAACTGTTCAACGTGAGAAGGGACCCTTGCTAAACGAGTCAAGATGCCAAGGGACACAGAGAATGCCTCAAAAAAAGGAAGAACTTCCTTTTGCTTTGTTTTGTTTTGGATAACCACTGTGTTGTGGAAGAAATGTGCCTGATTCATATAGAAAATCTGGGAATCTTTCATTGGAACACCATGACGTTTTTTTCTTTTTTTGGGGGGGGGGGATTCCTCCAAGTTTCTCATTGTGAGGATAATATTCACTTGTATGAAATGTCATTCCCTGAAGCATCCCCCATCTCTCCTTTGTAGAGGGGATAGTGCCAACAGTATTGGAAACAGATGTTAATGTGAGCCAGTAGATATTCCCTTTGGATAAATGAGCTTTTGCACCTCCAAGAACACTTACACAAAGGAGTTGAACAAATAAGGCCAAAAGTTCAAAGTAGTTAAAGGTCAGTAGATTTGGCTTTTCAGCCTAGCTCCCCAACATCTCACTGAGTGACTTGGGAACTTCACTTGGTACTATTTCAAGGATTGTCTTTAGATCAGGTTGCCCACTCAAGTCTAAAACAAGGAAAAATGCTTATCCCAGGCCTGCAAGGAACCCTCATGGAATAGTCTGGTAGTCTGGTACTTCATAGAAGAAGGAGGCACTAAAAATACAAAGTCCCCATTCTCAAGGGCTGTTTGCTTTGTACACACTGCCCATGCCCATTGCCCTGAGCTATAGAACTTCTCAGGGAGTGGAAAAGGTGCTAAAGCTAGTCTGATTTTGTTTTTCTGCAGAGGTGACTGACAGAAAGTTGACTGTGGAAGAAGAGGAGGCCAAGAGGATAGCAGAGATGGGAAAGCCAGTATTGGGTGAACACCCTAAACTAGAGGTCATCATTGAAGAATCCTATGAGTTCAAGGTCAGGCCACCAATGAGGTCTAACTGAATACTAGATTAACCAGGGTGGGAGACAGAAGATCTGGGGTTTTCTTCCAATTTCACCATGGAAAATATGAAGCTAAAAATGAACAGATCACTTACCTACCCCAAGTCTCAGTTTCCCCATTTGGAACTTGGAACAAATAACGCTAGCCATTTGTATCCCAGGAATATTGCAAGGCAACATAACATGGAATAAATGGGCTGGAAAGCCCCTAGATGTGTCATCAGTACTGTTTAGTTGTGTTTCTAAACAAAGTTACTAAACCTCAATACTACAGAACAAAGTTTACTGACATCATTATCATTCTTTTCTATTGCATTAGTGTAAATATCCAAAGAAAAAGGAGATAGGTTTCCCAGAAGATAGCAAGCAAGGCTGTTCCGTGCATAACTTCTCGAGTCCCCTTGAAGACAGGACAGCTTTCATTCCTTTGAATCACCAGACTCCTCATTGGTCCTGAGCATTCTAACCTCATAGTTGCCAGTTTTCCTCTCCCTGACAGACTACAGTGGACAAACTGATAAGGAAGACAAATTTGGCCTTGGTTGTGGGGACCCATTCCTGGCGGGACCAGTTCATGGAGGCTATCACTGTCAGTGCAGGTAAGAAGGGTCTCAAGGGGCGGGCATTGTGGAACAGCGGGTTAAGCCAATGCTTACAAAACCTGCATTCCCATATCCAAGCGCTACTCTGCACTTCCAGTTCAGCTTCCTGTTAACGCACGTGGGAGGCAGCAGATGATGTTTTAAGTGCTTGAGTTCCTGCCACCCACATGGAAGATCCTGGTGGAGTTCCTGGTTCTTGGCTTTTCCCTGGTCTAGTCCTGGATGCTGTCAACATTTGGAGGGGGAAGGGCGAACCAGTAGATGGAAGGTCTCTCTTTCTGTCCTTCTCTCTCCTGTCATTCTGCCTTTCAAATAAATAAATGAATCTCTCTTTTTTAAAAATATTTTATTTATTTATTTGAAAGGTAGAGTTACAGAGAGAGAAAAGGTCTTCCATCTGCTGGTTCATTCCCCAAATGGCCACAATGGCTGGAGCTGGGCAGATCTGAAGCCAGGAGCCAGGAGCTTCCTCCAGGTCTCCCATGCAGGTGCAGGGCCCCAAGCACTTGGGCCATCTTCTGTTTTCCCAGGCCATAGCAGGGAGCTGGATTGGAAGAAGAGCAGCTGGGACACGAACCGATGCCCATATGGGATGGGCACTGCATGTCTACTTTGCCACAGAGCTGGCCCCAATCAATAAATAAATCCTTCTTAAAAGGGGGTGGGGGCCTTAAGAACCTGGTCAGGGAAAGCGACTGCTCTTGAGAAGGAAGAACCTACCCACGACACCCGCCTATCCCCGGAAGGCTGTAGGTCCAGTCTCCCTGTCTCAAGTCCTAGGCGTTTACCTGTTCCACTGGGCCACGTCCTGGTTCTACTCTGCAAATGGGCACAAGTTCTTCTCTGACCTCAATTTCCTCAGCCAAAAAGGGAACTGCTGCTCTTCGCCGGGAAGGTGGAAAGGTGGGGTGTCGGTTACAGGATGGGCACTCGACAAATTCCAGTTTCCATCGTCTCCTCTGCTCATTATTGTGGTCCTTTGTCAAGTGAAACCATCGAGTGGAACAAGTCTGATTTAAGGGCGAGAGGGCCAGCCTTTTATAAAACGCTTTGCAGCAACTCTCAGACAAACCTCCACCCTAGATGATTCCAGATCTGTCCTCTGGAATATACTGACAGGTCCATCAGGGGGGACCCAGGCCGCAGCCAGGAGCCCCAGAGGCCTGCAGATGGGAATGGAAAAGGCCTCCGAGCTCCAGCTCTGTTGCCCGTCAGCACCAATGAGGCTTCCTCGCACTGCTGAGCACTACTGGCCTTGTCTATTTTCATGAGGCTCTGTTGTCATAGCAACCCACAGGGTCACATCCCCAAGGCCCCAGAGCCAGAGCAAATGTACAGCCAGAGAGAGGTTTGTTGTTGCCGCCGCCGCTGCCCCACTTCTTACATCGATCTTCTCGTTCCCCTCTGATGACCTGACTGTGCCCCTGAAGAGACACTAAACAGAATGTAGGCCACAGAATGCAGGGCCTGAGCTTCAGAAACAAGAGATAATGCACCCCAGGTACAGATCTTCTTCACGGCAACGCGGGGATTAGAACCCGAGTGTCCTGACTCCTGCTCTCTCAAAACCCAGCCTCCACTGGCTCTGTGAAAACATGACCGAGGCGGCCCCGGGGCCACACATCCTCTCCTCCCGACTGCTGACTGGGCCACGTTGCCCACGCTGCCTGTCCCGTGGGAGGCTTGCAGGGTGGCACCCACCAGCTCTCCGGTGTACCTCCATGATCGGGAATGACAGCTGCCCCTCTGGGGATGGATCATGGCCAGAACCATGAGGATTATTTCAGCAGTCAGATCAGAAAGTTCAAGGGGAGCCTTGGTGAAGAGGGGGGCACACAGTTGATTTTGCTTTTTTTGCCGAAGCAACCAAATGCAGCCAACTCCATCCTCTTTCCTCCCCTGTCTTGTCTTCCTCATGCCCTCCTGCTCTGCCTCCTCATATCTTTCTCCCCTCCCCTTCTCCTGTTCTCCTGCCTCTCCATCCACTCTCCATTCAAACTGACCAATGACCAAGTTGTCTGATGACCAATGGCCAACTTCTTCCTCTCTTTCACTCTTTTCTGGTGCACGTGTCCTGGCTCTAATCAGCTGCCCAGAATAAAGCTGGAGTTGCCTTCTGGGCAGTACCACCTGTCCTTGGGGTGGACTTGACCTTCTCATGAATGACCTCGCTGCCCTTCTCGGGCCTGTGTGTCTTGTCTGCAGCAGGGGATGAGGATGAAGATGAGTCCGGGGAGGAGCGGCTGCCGTCCTGCTTTGACTACGTCATGCACTTCCTCACGGTCTTCTGGAAGGTGCTGTTTGCCTGCGTGCCCCCCACAGAGTACTGCCACGGATGGGCCTGCTTCGTCGTCTCCATCCTCATCATCGGCATGCTCACCGCCATCATCGGGGACCTGGCCTCCCACTTCGGCTGCACCATTGGTCTCAAGGACGCAGTCACGGCTGTGGTTTTTGTGGCGTTTGGCACCTCCGTGCCAGGTGAGCGTGAGAAGGGCTTGAGCTTGCAAAGAGGTTCTTGCCTGGTTTTAAAGACCCCTCTGCTTCTCCTTCCTCACCATCTCAGAGCTGGCCTTCACAGAGCCTCTCCACTTCAGATGCACACAGTGCAGTCAAGTGCATGGACGATCGTGTTAATAATGGCAGCTAGCGTTTCTCAAATGGAGAGCTATGGTGCTAAGCTACGTTTATCCTTGCAGGGCTCACCAGAGCCCTTCTATAGATGAGGAAACCCAGGACCAAGGAGGTTAAACCACCTGCCTGAGTAAAGTGGCCAATTTCTTAACCTCTGTGTTCTGTAAATATGCCACAAACAATATAATTCAAAGAACGTAGATATTATTCTCCTGTCTACCTCTGGTGGTCTCTGAAGGGCTCAGAGATGTCACCATAGAAATTTCCATGATCATCCCCTCCTACCCCCACCCTGTACCCTCCCCCTCCGTGCTTAAAAGAACATTCCCGGCGGGCTCTGTGGCTCAATAGGCTAATCCTCCGCCTTGCGGCGCCGGCACACCAGGTTCTAGTCCCGGTCGGGGCGCCGGATTCTGTCCCGGTTGCCCCTCTTCCAGGCCAGCTCTCTGCTGTGGCCAGGGAGTGCAGTGGAGGATGGCCCAAGTGCTTGGGCCCTGCACCCCATGGGAGACCAGGAGAAGCACCTGGCTCCTGCCATCGGATCAGCGCGCTGCGCCGGCCGCAGCATGCCAGCCGTGGCGGCCATTGGAGGGTGAACCAACGGCAAAAGGAAGACCTTTCTCTCTCTCTCTCTCTCTCTCACTATCCACTCTGCCTATTAAAAAAAAAAAAAAAAAATTCCCGAGCACACTGTGTCTCAGAGGACAAGCAAAGGGAGCTTAGTGAGCTTCTGTCCTTCCACAGGATGAATTACGCAGTCTGCTGTCCCCTGTAAATACCAAAAGACAAAACAGAGTAGGCACCTGTTAATTCATACAATAGATAAGTGCTTGTTGAGCCTGCTACAGGACTAGTGCTACTTACCGGGATTCTAATGAGGCTTCCCTCTCCACATTGAGTTAATAATCTAGTGAAGGGCATGACACTCCAGTACTGAAATCAAAGCCATCTGGATGAGTTCCATGAGGAAAAGGTACAGGTGTTGTGTAAACAACAAGACAGGGATCCTGGCTAGTCTGGGGTCAGGCCTGGGTGGCTTCCAAGGGCAGTTATGTGGAAGCTGGGCCTGAGGGGCAGGGAGGAGATGGCAGGTACAAAGCCCTGCCTTAGCCCAGGCTCATTACTTAATTTGGGGTCCCCAGGACATGAACCCCAAACTTCTGCCATCCCGGTTGCCCTACAATGAAACAGAAGCCGCATCTTCCTCCAGGAGGGTTAGGCTGAGTGTCATCAGACCGGATTCGGCTGGTTGGGCCAACAGAAACCCTTCCCCTACTAAGAAACCGATTCTTCTGGAGTGTAACTTCATCATACTCTAGGAAAACTTCTTCTCAAAACTCCAGCACAGGCCGGAGGCATTATTTGTACATTAGAGACGCAAGATTGGGTGTCCTGAAAAATGCATCGGGTGGTAGGAAATGGGACAGAGCATTCTGGGAAGTCTTCGGGTGCACAACACCCTGCAGTCTCTGTTCTCCAAGTCTTGAGGGATCCGAACTATCAGAAGGGAAGGAGCTGACATGAGGAACAGATGTGGAAGACATAGCAGCAGAGCAGAGGTGAAATAGCAAGGTCGTAGGCAAAAAGGGGCAGGAGGTTTTCTCCCGGAGATCAGAGAAATTAGCGAGAGTGAAGCAAATGAGGACAAGCGGAGCAGGGAGAGAGCTTGGGGCCCTTCCAAGTGCTGGCAATTGGTCCAAGAGAGCAGCTGACAACATTTGGGACTTTCAGATGGCTGTGCTGTGGCCCCATCCTCTGCACCCACGGCTGGGGCTGGCGCTTTTCTGATGCAGATTGAGGGCCTGAGGGCCCTTTAGGGTCGAACCTCTTGCTGACTTCCACTGTGACCTGGGGTAGATTCCTGGGGCCTCATTTTCCCTACCTGTAGAATAGATAAGGTGGAGTGGGACAGGCTGGAGGGTTCTCCCAGGGCCTGCAGACCGTGCCAGAGTCTGAAGTCCACCCTGCTGCAAGGCCCTGGGATCCACATACAAGCTGCAAAGACACAGCCCATGTCCTCAGGTCCCCAGCTCATGCTGTCATCGTGAGCCACGCTGTGTCCTCTGCCCCATAAATCCAGCACCTGGTCCAGGGCTGAGCCCATAGACGTTGCCCAGTAACCGGGTAGAGGTGGGTGACTGCCCCATGTGACAGTCACAATCACACATCCTCCAAGCAGGATGGCAAGGCTCTCTAGGGAGATAACAAGGAAAGGCAAAGTCCCCTCCTGATAAAACAGTCAGCGGGAAAACAATAAATCCACTCAGTAAGTACCAGGACAGGAAAGGCCCGTGGGACCTTTCAGACGCCTGCCGGGAGGGTTCGGAAGCCCAGAGCACTGATGGGACTTGCCCGCGGCCACACAGCTTGTTAAAGGCAGAGCTGGAAGAAGCTTCCCTCTCCCTCCCTGCTTTCCCTCTCTCCTCTCTGGGCTCAGCCACGGCCTGCCCTGGGGGCTTCCTCGAGGGCCTCCCTCCACGTCTCAGCCCCCCAGCAGCTCCCCTTTGCCTGTGTCCTTTTTCCAGACACCTTTGCCAGCAAAGCTGCCGCCCTGCAGGACGTGTACGCCGACGCCTCCATTGGCAACGTCACGGGCAGCAACGCCGTCAACGTCTTCCTGGGTATTGGCCTGGCCTGGTCCGTGGCCGCCATCTACTGGGCCGTACAGGGACAGGAGTTCCACGTGTCGGCCGGCACGCTGGCCTTCTCAGTCACCCTCTTCACCATCTTCGCGTTCGTCTGCATCAGCGTGCTCCTGTACCGGCGGCGGCCGCACCTGGGCGGGGAGCTCGGGGGTCCCCGCAGCTGCAAGCTGGCCACGACGTGGCTCTTCGTGAGCCTGTGGCTCCTCTACATACTCTTCGCCACGCTGGAGGCCTATTGCTACATCAAGGGGTTCTGAGCCACAAAACAAGGCCTGCTGGCAGGGCAGGCCTAGAACTTCTCCAAAGAGAAAGGCACCTCCCCACCAGGGACCTCTCCGGGATGAGCAGCCCTAGAGAGGCAGCATCAGGGCCCAAGCCCCAGAAACTTCACCCGACCTAAGCGCTGGCAGTGCACTGAGCGGGCAAAGTCTTCTTCCATCCATGAAGGAATCACCCACTCCCCAGGCAGTTAATTAAATACCAACCAACAGCAGCGACAGATCCACCTGCAACTCACCTTCCCACCCAGGTCCCTGGCCCACAGTGGAGGTGCCTTTGCCTCCTCCTCTTCCACCTTCTGCTTGTTCCTAGGCCTCTCATTTCTTTGAGGGCACAGCTCCTCCCGCCCATCTCGTTCGACTCGTCGTGACTGTGCCACTCAGCTGGCCACGCGTGGACACGAGGCCTGGCCACGTGGCTGGTTTGCGGCTCCCTCTTCATTGCACTCACTCTTGTGGTTGCTTTTGTTCTTCCATCCCGTGTTGCTTGTCATTTTGTTTCGTCTTGTCTCTCGAGTTAGCAACACAGGTGCGGCAGAGCGACTCCTGGTCTGAGCTGGCCCACAGAGGCATGGGGTTTGCAGACACAACGCCTTCCCAACAATCACAAGCTATCCCTGGGTCCAGCCAGGTCCTGCCCCCAGCTCGTCTTTTTCTCTCGGAGCTCCTTGAGAACTCTGGCGTTCGGCTGGGAGTCAGCTCCCACACCCACGTGGGGAGTGGCAGGGGCCCTACGTGCTGGCGTGGAAATGAAGCGAAGCTCTAACCGCCATGCCCTCTTCCCTGCCCAGCCGTTCCCAGTTCTGGATGTCCTGTTGGGTCAGTGTCTGTATGTGTATTCTGCAGGAAGACCCGCCTGGTGGGAGAGATGGGACAGAAATGAGAAAAACATGTGATGACAGAGGGCAGCTGAGGCCACAGAGGGGACACGGGCCTTCTCACGTGGCTTTGTGTCTGAGGTAGGAGAGAAGACGTGTCCAGCCAGGGAGGGCTTCCAAGGGGGAGAAATCATATCTGACACATCTGTGTTTCTGAGAATGTTGGCGTCACCACCCCCTCACTCCCTAATGGGCCATTCGGAGCAAGCCGACTGTATTTCTCCAAGTGACAGAGACACAAGGAGCTCCTTTCACGTCTCCTGGCCCAGCGGTCGCGTTTGAAAACATCTTCCCTAGATAGGAACCAGAATTCCTCATTCCCCCCTGTTCCTGCTTGTTTTTAAACGTCGTGAAACTCGTTCCAGCCTATGGGGCTATTTCTTGTCCCCAGACGAGGAATCCTAGTTGCCATAATCCCAGGGAGCCTGGGTTCACAGAAAAAGAGATTGCCATGCCCTACTGAGCTTTTCCCAACAGATTTTGAAAGGACTTGGCTTTAGAAGTCACACACATACATACACACAGGCACACACAAAGAAACACACATACGACGTCACCACGAAACTGCCCACAGGTCTTTAGCTTTTCTGCATTGACATAAATACATTTTCTAAGGGGGGGAAAGAAATTAAGAAAACATCTGTTTAATTTTCAACACATTTTTTAGAAAAAAAATAATTAAAAAAGAAACAGTGTTTGTGCTATAAGCTATGTTGACAGTTGCCAGTGGAAACGTTGGGTTGGTTTAAAAAAAAAAAATAAAAGCTCTACTTATATCTCTCTACCTACAGCTTGCCACTCTCTGTGATTCTTCAGTAAAAGGTCCAGGGTCACCTTGGGTTTCTCCTGAAGCAGCTACAGTTGAGGTGACAGTGTCAGCTTGTATCACACTCAAGTGCCAATGTGCCAGGCCTGGTATTTCCTTAGCAAAAACCCCTCATGAAAATGTCGCCTGTCAAAACCTGGACGGATAAGAAGCAGGGGCACATAAGGAGCAAGAGCTGTGTTGTTTAAAGTGGAAGGAGGCTTTGTGTTGGAAAGGCCGCGTAGGGGGACCTGTGTTTTGGCACAGGAGTTTAAGCCATCACCTACAGCACTGGCATCTTCTATGAGTACAGGTTCGAATCCTAGCTGCTCCACTTCTGGTCCAGCTCCCTGCTAATGCTCCTTGGAAAGCAGCAGAAGATGGCCCCCAAGTGCTTGGACCCTTGCTACCCACGTGGGAGACCAAGGAGTTCCTGGCTCCTGGATTCGGCCTGGCCCAGCCCCAACTGCTGGTCTCTCTCTCTTTCTCTCTCTCTCTGTCTTTCTCTCTCTCTATGTATGTGTATGTCTCCATCTTTCTCTAACTCTGCCTTTCAAATATATAAATCAAAAAAAATAAAAAAAAAGAGGGCAGGGCAGGAATCTAGCGAGAAAATTATCCTTGTAGTTATTGCTAGTGGACACATATAAATTCATTCAGTAACTTACCATTCCTTCACATATTTTGAATGTCTTACATGCATTGAACTACATTCTAATGACACAAAGAGTAAGATAGAGTTCCTGACTTGAGGGAATTCACAGTCCAGAGGGGTAAAGTGAAACTTCTTTTTGTCTAGAAACCCATTGAATTGGCCAGCGCCGCGGCTCAACAGGCTAATCATCCGCCTTGCGGCACCGGCACACCAGGTTCTAGTCCCGGTTGGGGCACCGGATTCTGTCCCGGTTGCCCCTCATCCAGGCCAGCTCTCTGCTATGGCCCGGGAGTGCAGTGGAGGATGGCCCAAGTGCTTGGGCCCTGCACCCCATGGGGACCAGGAGAAGCACCTGGCTCTTGGCTTCGGATCAGCGTGGTGCGCCATCCGCAGCTCGCCGGCCGCAGCGGCCATTGGAGGGTGAACCAACGGCAAAAAAAAGGAAGACCTTTCTCTGTCTCTCTCTCACACTGTCCACTCTGCCTGTCAAAAAAAAAAAACAAAAAAAAAAAACATTGAACTTCAGAAAACGGAGGCAGAGACTGCTGTGAAGACCCAGTAGGAGGATCTTGGTTGATCCAAGGCAGGAAACACAGACAGGCTACAGGAGCTTTAAACCCTCAGGCCTCAGGAACCAAGGCCAGCGCTGTGGCACAGCGGGTTAACGTCCTGGCCTAAAGCACCGCCATCCCTTATGGGTGCTGGTTCGAGACCCAGCTACTCCACTTCCTATCCAGCTCTCTGCTATGGCCTGGGAAAGCAGTGGAAGATGGCCCAAGTCCTTGGGTCCCTGCACCCGCGTGGGAGACCCAGAGGAAGCTGCTAGTTGCTGCCTTCGGATTGGTGCAGCTCCAGCCATTGTGGCCAGTTGGGGAATGAACCATCAGATGGAAGACCTCTTTCTCACTCTCTCTCTCTCTCTCTCTCTCTCTCTGCCTCTCCTCTCTCTGTGTAACTCTGACTTGCAAATAAATAAATATTGAAAAAAATAAAGCCGCAGGAACCAAGGCAGCTCCCCACCGCCCCAGTACCACGTGGTCACTCCTGTCCACACCCCCCTCTTCCTATTGGGCCTCTCATCTTCCTCTGTCTCCCAAGTGGCTGCCTCTGCTTCCCTTCAGCCCAGCACTGTCACAGCCCTGCACTGTCATGACCTCGGAGTTCCACTCCCCAGGACTAACTGGAGCGTCCCTCTTCTGTGAGTGCAGCTTCTCAGTTGAGAGAATATCACCCAGTGCCCATCCCCAGAGGGTCAGTCCCAGAAGACAGACTCATTGGTAGAAGGCTGTCGTGGTGGCTGGGGCAGCCATGTTTTGGTTGCTGTGGGCGGAGTGTCCACCCCTGGCCCCAACAACTCAGGTAAGGAGAGGGGGGTGGTGATTGCGTGGACTACTGCCCCTCCCACAAGCTAAGTGCTGGGCAGGAGCCCTGGAACAACTGAACACTCAGGTGCAAATCAACAGCAGCTCTAAGCCACGAGTGCCCCACGGTGGCATTAACAGTGCCCTAGGACACCGTGGAAAGAGACACTGAGTCCAGCATGGTGGTGCAGTGGGTTAAGCCACCAGTTGCAACACTAGCATCCCACAATAGCACTGGTTCAAGTCTTGGCTGCACTGCTTCCTATATAACTTTCTGTTAATGCTCCTGGGAAAGCTGCAGAAGATGGTCGAAGTACTTGGTCCCCTGCCACCTGCATGGGAGACCCAGATGGAGTTCCAGTCTCCTGGCTTCAGCCTCACCCGGCCTCAGCTGTTGTGGCCATTTAAGGAGTGAACCAGTGGATAGATCTTTCTGTCTCTCTGTCTCTGTCTATCCTCTGCCTTTCAAATAAATACGTCTTAAAAAGAAAGACTAACTGCCTTGAGGAGTCAGGGAAAAGACTTTACAGAACACAAAATGTAAGTAGGAGCTTGAAGGAAGCATAAATAGGGATTCATTTTGGTGTAGAAAGACAAGACAGAAAAGGAACAAAGGCGCAAGAATGAAACCAGGTGCAGCGTGGTCCCAGCTAGAGTGTGGGGTCAATAGGAAGAACAGAGGGAGGTGGATCCTAACTGTGGACCCCTTGTGCACTCTGCTGGGACCCGGATCTGCCTTCAGTGGGTTCCTGAGGGCATTTTAGGCCAGGGAGTGGGTACTAGAAAATCTTTGCAAGGCTCTGTGGTAGGCCTAGAAAGCAGGATCAGGAGTGCATACAAGTCCTGCTGTGACCAGGATAACGAGACAGAACTAGACAGTATAGGACTTGCAAGTAAAACAGAACAGCACAAAAAAGCAGGCAGGGAGAGAAGGGTTTGGCTTAAAGGTTCATCCGGTTTTATTGCCAAGCATTAAGTTGAAATGAAAACTGCCTTTTAGGTGATTAAATGAGAGATGCAAAATTATGAAATCCATTTTTGCCTCTGCTTTTTAGTCCTTTCTGGATTATCCAGATGTTAGGCTTTGTCAAGAGAGAAACTGGGATGAGCCACAGGGAGGGGGGAGGAGAGCTGAGGGGAGCAGCCCAGAATCTGGGTGCCTGGGTACTGGTCCAGATGCCACTACTGTCTGGGTCTGTGACCTTGAGCCGGGCCATCTCCCCCTCCCATCACAGTTGCCTGAGCTATCTTGGGAGTGGTTTCTATTTCTATTTATTTTATTTATTTGAAAGGCAGTAAGACAATACACACACACACACACACACACACGTGTGCAACACTCCCATCCACTGGTTCACTCCCAAAGCGTCTGTAATGGGTGGGCTAGGTCAGGCCAAAGCAAGGAGCAGGAACTCAACCAAGTGTCCCACTTGGGTGACAGGAACCCAACAGCTTGAGCCATCACTGCTGCCTCCCGAGGTGCACATTCGCAGGAAACTGGAGTTAGGAGTGCAGCCAGGACTTGCACCCAGGTGCTGTGGTATTGGATGCCAGCATTCCAAGTGGCATCCTAACCACTGCACGAAACACCCACCCTGCCTAAGTGAGGTTTTAATAGTTGGCCTCTGAGGCCGGCGCCACAGCTCACTAGGCTGGCTAATCCTCCGCCTTGTGGCGCTGGCACACCGGGTTCTAGTCCCAGTCGGGGTGCCGGATTCTGTCCCGGTTGCCCCTCTTCCAGGCCAGCTCTCTGCTGTGGCCAGGGAGTGCAGTGGAGGATGGCCCAAGTGCTTGGGCCCTGCACCCCATGGGAGACCAGGAAAAGCACCTGGCTCCTGCCATCGGATCAGCGCAGTGTGCCAGCCGCAGCGCACCGACCACAGCGGCCATTGGAGGGTGAACCAACGGCAAAAGGAAGACCTTTCTCTCTGTCTCTCTCTCTCACTGTCCACTCTGCCTGTCAAAAAAAAAAAAAAAATAGTTGGCCTCTGAAGCCCATTACTTGTAGCTTCAACTCTGGGGTTCTAGAAGATAAAGGTGGTGACAAACCGCCTGGGAACCACACTTGACCAGCACTGGCTCTGTAGCCTATGCATTAGAACGAAGGAAATATTGCCAGCCATTGTGCACGAGTTCATTTTCAGCACTTTGTACCAACTGAGCCACGTCTCATCCCCTTGGCTCATTTCTTTTTAACGTTAACAACTGTAACAAGTAAGCCCTAATATTTCAGTGGCTTTGCAAACTTCAAGTGTCTCCCTCCTGTGATCATACAGTGCAGATGTTCTTGTTCAGCAGGCGGCTTCCACGGGGTGACCCAGGGACTTGGGTTCCTCCCGTTCTTGGACTCTGCCAGCCCCGGGAGCCTTGCTGTTCTCTTCATCCGGCGGCAGAGGGAAAGAAAACGAGAGAAGACATTCATGCTTCCAGCTTCCTTGGTTCCAGATTAGTACTTGCCACTCTTGCTCATCTTCTGTTGGTGAAGAACTTTCACTTTAACCCCCTAGTTCAGAGGAGAGGAGGAGAGTCCTGGCTGGGCAGCCACTTCCCGATGACCTCTGTGCTGTAAAAGGGTAGGATTTTATGAATGTTTGCCTCTGCCACAATCCCTTTGTGATGCAAAACACATAGTATTAACATCAATGACCAAAAGCAATCTGACCTGTATCTGTGAACTTCCATGGTTTACAGAAAAACCTCTCCCATATATGTGTTTGAGTCTAATAAGATCCACAAGAGGTAGATATTATTGCCCATTTTTTCAATGAATTCCCAAAAGGTTAGCGGTCTGCCAGGAACACGAGACTAGTAAAAGACAGGTGCTAACAATGATCGTCTGATTCCAACTCCAAACTCTTGCCAGAACACCATGGCTTCCTGTGAACTCCAGAACCAAAGCTGAGACCCGTAGGAAAGTAGGTCCAGCCAGGGCCAATGTCCTGAAGAGAGCAGCCGGTGTCCAA